TAGAAGACGTCATAATACAAAACAATTATGAAACAGAATAAACAGCTTTTGAAATGTCTTTTACTCGCAACGCTGTTATTGTTAAAGCTACTGTACTACAATACACAATGCACGTCTCTGTCAATGTGAGAAAAATAAGTTGCACCTTATGCAACATGTTTTTTTGCCCCAGTTCCACTTCCAAACCTATGCCTTGGGGCTTCTCAAGTTGCGTGAAATAAGTCTCATTCATTCGTTTAAGTGCTTAGATACAAAAAACGCCTGTCCCTTTTACATCTTGCAAAGCGTCTCATATTAGGTCATAGAATTATTTTTCTGTTAAGGTAAATGACTGTACAAAACATGTTTAGATTTGCGAGTATTCATTCCTAACGGAAGCTGTTTTCACAACTTAATGCCTATCAAAGTTTGAACTTTGTCTCCGTCTGCATCAGGCTGACTGAGTGTTTGAAGAAGATAGGTATTGATGGCAAGGATGTAAGTATAAGAATCATAAGAAATCTCTACTGGCAGAAAAAGGCAGCAATTAAAGTGTGTAATGCACAATCAGAATTTACTGAAATCCACTGAGGAGTGAGACAAGGTTGTGTCCTCTCTCCCTGTCTTTTTTAACACCTATACAGAGTTTATTTTTAGAGAATCTCAAAACCTACAGAGAGTCACTTTACGGGGGTAGCAACATCAATAACCTGAGATACGCAGATGATTATATTTTTGCTTGCCAACACGAACGAAAATCTTTCTAAAATTGTGAAAGTAGTAGAAGTGAACAGCAGCAAAGGCAGGCCTCGATGTGAACACCATTAAGGCGGGGGGGGGGGGGGTGTTGTTGTTGTTGTTGTTGTTTTAGTAGATTGTAAGTGTTTTGCGGCGCTCGCAACTGCATAAGGTCATAATTTATGAGCGCGTGGGACACCAATCATTTTGAGTTGGTAGGAAATTGTTTTTGAATTTTGCCCGGGCGGCGGCCGAAGCCTACTCGTGTCGACTTCAGATCGTTTGAGGGGTGGTGCTACCGTAGAATGGCCTAAATAAGTTTGGAAAACGAAAAAGACAAACAATGAGGAGTTTTCAGTTTCTAGACACAAAACAACCCTTGCTGAATAAAGGTAAATGTAGAAAAATTCAATTCTTAGACCACTGAAAACGACAATAGACCATTGTGAAAGAGGTGCTTGAAGGAAACATTGTGAAGTAGGGGAGCCAGGGGAAAACACACAATAACAAGGGGGCTCTCGTGGCCTAGAGGTTAAGGTGTTGGCCTCTCATTCAAAGGTCCCGGGTTCGAATCCGGGTAGCGACCGAAAA